TTATTAAGCTTAACTACTTCTTTTTTATGATCATAATGTGGACAAACTCCTTCTTCTTTTTTTCTTTCGTACCAGTCATCAAGATATTCATTAATTAGTTCACTAATAAGATGATTAATATTATCAGTAATGATTAAAATAATAAAAATATTTATTAAAAATCATTTACCGGCTCATTCCTATAAACACATATTGAGATAAAACTAAAGCAGCATCCATTTTTATTTTCTTGTTATTTTATGTATTTTTTATTTATATGAAGTAAAGTAAAAAATCTATCTCTTTATAGTTTTTTTATTATCCTATTATAGCAATTCATTAACAAAAATGAATCTTTTTTTAATCATAATTTTAATAATTCAAACGTTATAACCATTTCTATTTTCTGTTTTCTTATCATGCTCCATTTTGAAATCTATTGCTAACTGTTTTGCTTGTTCGTTAGTTCTATTCTTTGTAATTAAAAACCATTTAAATTTTTCTTTATTTTCAAACCAACGAAATACCCAAGCATTAATTGTTTTGTGATAACTAATTCCATTATATCCTGATGTATTATTTTTTTGTAATTTACGATTTAAAGCATTTTCTCTCGGTGATGTCTTTCTAAGATTGCATTCCCGATTATCACATCTATCACAATTCATATGATCGATCATCTTCCATTCAGGATGAATCATTCGATGAAGTCGTAAATTTTTTCTTTTATTCCATGTAGAAATATAATATGTGTTTCTATCTTTACGACAATACCAAGTATATTTTTTCAGAAAATGAAAATTCTCTTTATTAATTAGAAATGTAATTTCTGGTTTCTGTGTTTTCACTTCTAAATAAATTGTGAAATTGATTTTTATAAGTCGATACTCGTTCAATTTTAATTTTGGTTTATCAGGATTCTCATATTTTTCCCAATCGGTCAAGATTTCAAAATCTTTGAATTTCTTTTGCCAATTCGACATTTTGTTAAATAAAATAAATATTACAGAATTTGAAGTATTTATATTTTATTTTGAATTGTAATTTTTAATTGCTTCAACAAAACCCTCCCATAAATTTACAGTGTGTTTTCTTCGAAATACAAATTCTTTT